TGTGTCTCAGATATCAGTTTCTTTCTCATAACAATAAAGCTCGTATACACAGCTAAAACTTTTGTATTTAAGGTTTTCACCTATTGTACAGGGTGTCCGCGCGATATTCCGCGCAATTTTAAAAAGCGTAATAGGTACCCCAAATTTGCAGCTACCAACTTGAGATTTGGCTGAGAAGTTCAGACCCACATTTAAACTCTTGAAGTCAAGCGCAATTAAGTACCGTAAAGTATTTTTTAAAAAATTTTGAATTTTTTTTTTGGTTATTTTGCCTTCCAGAAAAACATTTTTTTCTCCATAACCATTCTCCCGATCGGCAAAATTCTTTAACTGGCAGACGCGGAGGATCCAGTGCTATAACATTTATTTCAAGCATTTTTTCGATTATGTACAGGGGTTTTAAATTATAGGCAAAAATCCAAAGGACTTTGAAAATTGTTCTTTTCATCAGTAAATTATTAACCGCAATTAAAAAATAGTAAAAAATATGGCTAATCGGCTCAAACAGTGTCCATAGGCAGCATCAAGAGCTACAAAAATCGTTATTCCGGGGGCTGTCAAGGAGCGATGACGTCATTGATTGTTAGGGCGCTGCATGTTTTCAGAAAAATCTTGTTTTCTCGAAAACCATTTACTATTTTAGAAAAATTCTTGGACTAGGAAACGTGGAAGATCCAGGGCTATAACCTCTATTTCCAGAATTTTTTCAAATATGTACAGGGTGTGTCGATTATGGCAAAAAAAAATTAAAAGACCCTGAAAATTGCCATTTTCGTGGATAAATTATTAGCCGTAATTGAAAAACTGTAAAACATGGGATAATTTGGTTTAAACAGTCTCGAATATTGTGTCGAGAGAGAGAGTTTCAAGTTTCGTCTATCCTACAGGGTGCGCGAGATACTTGGAATAATATAATTTTAAATCATTATTACTTGTACAATTTTTTATATTTATCAAACTTTGTTGTGACTTTGAACTTAGGTGATAAGTAAAAAACGCTTTATACGGGGTATATGCACAATACAATTACATCGATTTTGCGAAAGTTCCATAGTGGTCCGCAGGAGCACGATAGAAAAACGATGCCTCCCTTTACCTTAAGAACCGCGAAGCTCTTTCTTAAAAAAAAAGCTGTTTCGCGATAGGCGCTACGAGCTTGCCCCGCCCAGCAATCGTGTTTTATTTATCACTTAACCTGAACCAGTGAAATAAATCATAATAAAAAAAACTTTCTGCACACTGCTACGTACTGTGGAGATTAAGAAAATCGGTTTTATAAATGTTATTCTGCTTATCATGCTCTTTCAAAAAAAAAAAGAAAACTTTGTTTTGAATGTAAAAACGAATTCTCGCACAATCAAAACTCTAACTTCGTAACTAAATAATAAAGACCTAATTTTGATAATAAACTACTATTTTTGCTGTGATAACAGTTGGTAATCATAATTTTTGTTTTTTGTTTTCTAGGTACCTTGTTTTAATGTTGCCAGTACCAGATGCAATGGAAATAAATTTTGAATTTGAAGTTGTTCTCCCACCTTGTGCTTCGAACTCATACCCGAATATTTTTGGTTTGGGACATTAGGAAAAAAAATACAAAGGCGAAAACTATTGTTCACATGACCCGCGCCACTGTATGTTGCGGTGTGCCCAAAACCGAAAACCTATCGCCGTCGGAGGGCATTTTATAGCAACGGGGGGCTGTTGGGCCTCAATCCCTTTTAACCAATTAAGTTCCCTCCTTATCGACGCCCCGGGTACACCCCTTAAAATCACACGAGGGTCGCGATATTCACCCCGCCTCATGGATCCATGTGTCACCCTATATATATGCCACCCTTCGAGCATAACTCAGTAATATTTATCTCTTTAAACGGATTTGAAAATTAGTATGGAGGACATTCGGAGTCATACGAGTGGAAGCAACGAGGATTTATCGCCCGGGGCTGTGGGAAGCCATTTTTGCTTGCGTCCGAGGAAGCAGGGCGCTCGCAACCGCCGAGAATAATCACTTTAGATTACTTGAATGTCCGTTTTGTCAATTTATTTCGATGTGTTATTTGACAGTGGGAAAAATAATATTATATTTAATATTTTTTTATAATATCCTTATAGATTTGGGCCTTTAGAACTATTACGTTAACACTACCATGAAATAATACGTAACTTATTTGTTAATATTAAGTTACTTCTCCTTTAGAGACTAAGAAATCACTGAAAACAGATTGGGTTATATTTACTTATTGTGTGTATGTGAAAACTATCTGCCTGTGATCAAATAAGAGTTATTTTAACCCAAACAAGACTTTAATAAGTAGATTTTGCAATAAGTAGAACAACATTCTTCCTTGGTGGTCTTCAAAGTGGATAATTTGGAATTTTATGGAGTTATCATTACACACTCCAAAGGATTGTGAATTACTTCGGGGGACTTAATTGGATCGTAAAAATGAGCTGGTGATAAATGCAATTTTACTCACGAATTTGATGTGAGTGTTTAATAAACTGAAAAGTGATTGAAGTCGTGTCACGTGTAACACACTACTCTTTTTCTTCTTTTGATTTTATAGCCATGGTTGACGTTTCTCAATTCTACAGGTCACGTAACACACGACTGAACATATTCGTGCTGTTTTGCGAAAATGTACCCAAATGGTCGTAGAAAAAGTATACTTGTGACTAAAGGGGTGTTTATCAAACTTTTTGCATTATATACTAATGTTAAAAGCATACTTGAATACGCTTCCATCGTCTGGCCATCATAAAAATTAGACATACCCTATCTACTTGAGAACATTCATTTCAAGATATTGTAATCAAGAAGACAGAAGTTAGCTTTAACCTGCTTTTTTAAATTAACTGGTCTTATATTTTAGGCAATATTAATTTAATAATAATCTCTATGCCACGCATAAGTAAGCCGCTCACCGAAGTACATCGAACGTTTATAGATCAGGAAATAATCTTGAAAATTAAGAAGAATTTAAGAACTACATAAAAAAAAAACGAAAATTTAGATTACTAAATAGATTGTGCGGTTTTTGGTTAGGTCATTTTGGCTCCGAATTTTGTTTCCACTTTTCCTTTTTCTTGTATTCATTCTCAAATTACAAAAATAAAATAAAAAACATAGGTTTAGTTTTTCTTTCTAAGATAGATTCCAGATAAGTTTTTTATTTGTAATCTGATATTTGGCTAAAAATCCATGTAACAAAATCAATAAGAACTAAAAGTTTGTCAATTGTCTCGACTTATTTTGAATTTAATGGACAGATTTACATCTCTAAAAGGAAGGTTTGATTATGGAAACTCACTTAGTCCTTTGTTAGCCGAGATTTTTATGGATAATTTGGAAAATATACTAGAACATCCTTTAAGTAAAAGTTTTCTATGGTGGTGTGGTGCGTGGGTGATGTCTTTGCTTGCTTTGTTGGAACGGACAGACAATTGAATTCATTTTTAAATTAGATTAACTCATTACATAATTGTATAAAATTCACTATCGAGATTGAACAGGATGACTCTATTATTTTTTTAGACTTAAACTAAAACGGAAAACAAATTAGATTTTTCCAGTCATACATAAAAACTCAAATCACTCTTATACACACAAAATGGCTGTATTCACTTTTTTATACACAGACTTCTTAATACGCCATTCTCAACAGAAAATTACAACAAAGAACTTAATATCATTAAAAAAATTGCACTGAAAAACGGCCACAATCCGTCCATTATAGATAAAATTCTAAATAAAAAACAAATCCAGACAACAGTAAACTCTAATTATTCGAAACTTAATATAGAACACGAATAATTTAAAACAATTAGATACATAGGAGAACTCAGTGAAAAAGTTTGAAAACATTTGTCAAAATGTGGTTTAAAAATACCTTTCAGAACTAACAACACAATAGGAACATTTTTAAAAAACAAAAAAATCAGGTGTCTACTAGTTGAAATGCGGATCTTGTCCAAAAATTTGTATTGGACATAAAAGAGCGTTTAAAGACAATAGTCTAGATTCTAATTATACTACACACTTAAACACAGAAAAACACATTTTTAACGACAATTTTGATATTTTACATGCAGCCACAAAAAGTACAAAATTAAATTTATTGGAAGCCATGGAGATTTATAAAATGAGACATTCAAATGAATTGCTTAACGATTAATTAGATTGAACTTAAATTCTCACAACATTAATTAAGGTTTGTCGTTTCTCGGTATATATAGCAGTAGTTTATAAATATTACATTTGATAAAGACACGGTGTTGTCGAAACAATTGTCATGTGAAAATACATAATATCGTGGAGATCTGAACTTTTAGTTCTTATTTATTAAACTAATTTTTCTATTTTTGTGTGGATAGTTAATTTACTTGTTTCTGTTTTAGTGAAGCTGACTAATAAGAATGTTTGCTATCTAATTAATGTTTCGTAATGAAAATTCCACTGCTTGAACCGATTATTTGTTTATTCCTAAATAAAATTGTGTTGTTTAAATTTCCACACATATACGAGAATTTGTTCGATCGCGATGTGGCTCAGGCGGGCGTGTAATAAAAATAAAGCGTTCTTCTAACAAATCTTACTGCCCGAATAAGTCCTTGGAGATAAAAGTTGAAAGAGACACTAACCTCGGATATCTTTCTTTGCTATTCCAAACTTGTGATTTATATTTATATCAACCTTTACTAGGTCGAACGTAAAGTTGATCGGCTTTAATGGTGTGTTCGCATTTCGAAGTTTGTAGACTTTCGTTTTTGCCCCGAGAATCGTTTGCCCATCTCGCCTAACGCAGATATTATAAATATATGTTAATTTGCATTTTTACGGTTAATGAAATATATAATTTTTTTAAAATGTGCTTGAGGAGTTTAATATCGAAATTTTGGTTGCTACATGTATTAAACAATTACTCTCTGTCTCATCCTGTAGAAAATGCTAACTAAACATTGTTATAAATATCACATTTCCTCAATAGCCGGTCTTCCGAAAGTGATTAGATTGCACTCGACGTTTTTAAATGCGCAACAAAGTATCACTGCTCGTTTATGCGAAGTGGTCCGCGAGAATTTTTTATAGGTAAGAGAAGATATATATTTCATTTTAATACTAACTCTATATGTAACTTGAAAACATTTAATTCAAATTCGAAACACTAATTATTTTTATTACAATTACATGCAAATATTTTTATTTTTACGAGAAAAAAAAGGGAACTAGTAACCAAGAAATTTTCTTTTTGCAATGGTTTCGACGTGGAATTAAGTTATCTAAACATTAATAAAAAATACCTTATACTTTTCAAAAAGTAGGGCAATCAATTTTCTTTCTTTCGCTCCTAATTTCATTAAGAAAATGTCTTCAAGCAATATCTCAACTATCTTATTCCCAAAATTAGCAATTATGTTTTTACAGAGAAATAATATCAGCTGAGGCAAAGACCATGCCTTCCATTTGGACGCTTTGTCTATGTATCATGGCTGCCAATATGAAACAAGTGATGATGTTTTCAGGTGAATATTCAAATGTGAATGGAATTCAACGATACGTATGCTACAATGCAATTTTATCAAACCTCGAAGCATGTTTTAATTGTGAAAATTATTACTCCGGTTGTAACAAAAACGATATTTATTTTATGAATTCGTCTTTTCCTATTCTTTCACCTGGTATCCACCGTATCTATGAAAGTATTACCTCATTGACTATGAAGCACTCAAATATATCTGTCATATTACCAGGATTTCTTAATAACTTTCCTGAATTAAAAATGCTGGATTTTGCGAATAACAACATAAGTTATCTGACTGCTGGAATTTTTAATTCACTATCGGAACTAAAAATACTTGATATGTCTTCAAACATTATTCGAAATATAAGCGACCAAACATTTTTTGGCCTTAATAATTTGAGGTCCCTGGATTTAAGCAACAACCACATAACATCGCTGATCTCTATTTTCTACGACCATCAAGCGAATTTAGAATCTCAAAACTCACTTTTTTTTGTAATGCCGAACATTGAAGTCGTCGATGTGAGCCACAACGAATTAAGCGAGCTCGCATCACCCGGACCAACAGTATTGCATCTAGATTTGAGTTACAACAACATAACTACGATACCTGTCTCGGTATTTTCAAACGCCCGCTCACTCAAAATCTTATGTTTGCATCATAACTACATCCAGCACTTGCCGAGAAATGTTTTCAAAAATTTATCATCGTTGGAAAGTTTAGACATCTCCTTCAACAATTTGAATGAGACGCAATACGGTCAATTGGACCATTTAGAGCAGCTGAAATATCTCAATCTTTCAAATAATCACCTTAATCTTGAATTTCATAAACTGATATCCTTGATCCACCTTGAAGAGTTGCAGTTGGCCAACAACACTTTTAGCAACTTCGAGCCCGTTTCCTTATTAAATCATTTCCCTAAACTACAAGTAATTTCGCTATATAATCATTTTTGGGACTGCAAAAAATTGGCTACGACTAATAGCTACTTTAGAAGTAAAAATGTAATGGTTGTGCCTGGTACAGATTATAGCGATGAATACCATAACATCATCGGAATTCCCTGCCATGACTACAGTACTTTTGAAGACAAAATTGATACTTTGCCATACAATTCCAGTACTCTGGAAATATTGTACAGAGATATTGGCGGGTATTTGAGAAGAAATAATTTGTATTTGGGAGATATAAGTGCGAAAATAGATAAGATACAAAGTAACCACGTCAACGACATGTCCGAATCTATCGAAAAATTACTCTTGGAAATCAAGCAAACGGGAAGTACCGATAATTCCAGCCAGACGAACATTTACACACTTCTGCAACATGAGATGGAGCTTAGTTTGCAGAAATCCCAAAATCGTTTGTTGGGTCAGAGGCTAGAGCACCTGGAAAACACATTAAAAAGTTATTTTTCTAATTATAGTTCAGCTTACAATGAGAAACTTACCTCATTCGAAAATAAAAGTTCACATTCGGAGTCTGTACTTGTTGATATTCTGTTATTCCTAATTTTGTCTATACTCTTAGTGTTTTGCTATTTGTATTTTAAAAACACTTTCGGGACACCCAAACGAGACGAGGTGGAATTGGTGTAAATAATTAACAGTTAAAAATAATGCTTAATACTAAATAAGAATAAACAATAATATAATTACACCTGCATTTTTTTTAACATATTTCCCCGAGTTTACTATTTCTGTGAAATTCTGCAACCGTGCTGATTTAAAACAAAAAAGAAAAAGAAATTTATTTATTTATTATTTCCTTGAGGCTTTCAAAATCAAAAACGACTTTCAAAATGAGTTTTAGTAATCTATTTTCTAGGTTCCTTAAATATTATTATATGCGAAGCATCTATAATACAAAATGAATTAATGAAAACAATATACAAAACTTAGCAGTTGAAGAATAATTTCTTTTTTCTTACTCCCTAATCGAACATACCAAATTATGTACTGATTTTTTTTATGCATTTTTTGTACGAGGTAAACATATTCTCTACGAATGTGGTCTTATGGTTATTGTTGTGGATTTTTGTTTTATTTTTCTTTATATCCTTTGGTTTTGGATTAAAGTGACTGTTGATATGAAAATTAATATGTATAGTGTGTTGTCTAACCTTTTACACCCTGTGCCAAATAAAACGATTCAGAATACGATCTGGAAACCCATAGGAGATACGAAAAAAAGTTTCGTATAAAAGTTTCTTGGACTCTCCTCTCCTAATTTTTATGATACAGGGTGTCCCAAAAGTGCCTCCTCCCGCTCGACAACAACTTCGTTATTTTAAATGGAACATACTGTATATTTAGACATTTTTGGAATACTTGGTTAAAATAAAGGTCACTACTTGAATTTTGCATAGTTTAGGCAGAAATCGAGGTTATGTGTTTTTTTTTTTCATATTTTAATTGCCTTATATAAAATTGTGTTGTGGCGCTGCTGATACAGATATTGCAACGAAAGTTTAACCACAGACTAAGGAGATGATACACTACTCAATCAGATATCAATTATAGGCCAAAAAATAAGGTAAGTTTGTAATTTATCTTATATTTAAATTTTACTTAATTTTTGAGATATTTGAGCTAAATTCTTGTTGAATTTAAAGCTGCCCACATTAGGTCACTTGTTGGCAATATTAGGTATTTTTAAAAAGCAAAGACTTCCACTTCTTCCACTTCTTTTAAAGACATAATACTCCAGAATAAAACCTACTGCTAACAATACAGGGTATCCATTAATACGTTTGAAATTTTGAAAAATTTAATAAATCCTTAGAATTCATATTTAAAGAAAAATTTAATAGTTAATTGTTTAGCTTTATTGAAAATACATAATAACAGAAGTAAATAGTTAAAATTTATAGGGTAACTAAACAAGGTAAGAAATTTGAATAAATAAATCTATAAAACAAAAAGTGAACTATAAAGAGTTCGTTTATTCGATCCATAAAGTTTAGTTAAAAATGTTACTCTTGAAATGCTCGTTTCATCTGGCATCAAAACAACAGAGAAAATTCAAAACATTTAAAAATGTAGTTGGCTATGACATCAAATCTTTTTTTTTTGACGCATTAAGGTATAAACAAACCTTGAAATTTCTGTTTGGTTTTGTTGTTTTTCATAATTCTATTAAAAAAAAATGCTATTAAAAAAATACCTAATATCGCCAGCTTTAAATTGAACAAGGGGTTATCTTAAACCTCGAATATCTTAAAAAGCAAGTAAAATATTTTGCCTTGGAATTAAAATCTGAATAAAAATATAGCATGTTCCATGTAAATTGAATTCGCCAAAACGGCACCACCTATTTGGGACACCCTGTAAAAGCTGAGGCGCCTCTGTCAAACAGATTGAGTAGTGCATCATCTCCTTAGTCTGTGGTTGAATTTTGGTCGCAATACCTGGTTCAGTACCGTAACAAAGCAATTTTATATGGACAATTAAAATATGACAAAAAAAAAACCGAAATTTCTGCCTTAACTATGCAACATTTGAATATGATTTTCTTAAGAAAGTAACCTTTATTTTAACCAAGAATTCCAAAAATGTCGAAATATACAGGATGATCTATTTAAAATAACACACTTGATGTTGGGGGACACTTTTGGGACACCCTGTATCAACAAAATTATAATATTTTAAATATTCAGGAGAATCCAGGAAACTTTTGTACTAAACATTGTATCTATCTCTATCTCCTATGGGTATCTAGATCGTATAGTGGATCGTTTTATTTGACACACGGTGTAAACTGCAACCAGCGACATCCAAATATCCATTAGCATATTTTTCCCCAGCGCAGCGGCAAGAAACTGTAACGCATCGAATGGCGTTAGAATAGCAATAAAAGAATAGATAAACGTTTACGACCGCGTAAGGAAAACTTCAACGGTTATCCTACCTAACGATTAAGAACATAACTATTGCAAACGTGGGGCATATGCTTAAAAGTTTATTTGAAAACTTAGACACAAGATACTGGCACTTGAAACTGTCACACCGGGCGATTTTTGAAAGTTTCGGTACTTGGATTTTCGGGTCTGCACTATCGAACTAAATCATTTTGGACGATGCAACGCTGCTGCTTTCCACAGTAACATATGGCAACATCGACATCTTAAATGGCATACCCTAGGTTTTATCTGTTCACTTTTGCTCCACGGTACTTTCCTGTACTTATTAATTGATTGTTTCGAAAGATTAATCATTTTTTTCTTATCCAAAATCTCATATGACTAAAGCGTTTACTTAGCACATAGTTTGCAAAAACCCCGTGTATTAGACTTATGTAGATAAATTAATTCCATAATACACAGGGTCGTTTAAAATTAATGATTTTGATGTTATACATAAGAAAGATCAACTTTCTAACTTCTAAACCTTCTAAACTTCTAATAAGTAATTAAATTTTTCCGTTTCTTAGTAAACGTCTAATCCAAGATCGGTATTATAATGAAAATTCGGGAACTGAGATGGCTTTTACTTGACGAAAGTCCATTTAACAAAATAAATAAGATTTTCACGAAATCATACATATGCACATGACAATTGTTTCGACAACACCGTGTCTTTATCAAATATAATATTTACAAATTACCTGCTAGTAAATACGAGGTGTGTTCAAGAAGTATCGCGAATTTTGAGTTTTTTCAAAAATTATTTATTTATTCATGAATATCTATTTTGTCCCCTTCAAAGTAATCCCCATGAGATATTATACCAACCAACCAACCAACCAATTATGCCAACGGTTTTTCCTATCTTCGAAGCACTTCAAAAAATCATTTTTTTTTATCTTCTTCAACTCCTCCTTCGATGCCGTTTTATCTCGTCAAGAGAAGCGTAACGTCGTCCTTTCATGGGCCTCTTCAGTTTAGGGAACAAGAAAAAGTTACAGGGGGTCAGATCTGGGGAATACGGTGGCTGCGGCATCATTAGTGTGTAGTTTTTGGCCAAAAAGTCGCGCACAAGCAACGATGTGTGAGCAGGGGCGTTATCGTGGTGCAAAAGCCAATTTTTGTTCTTCCACAAATCCGGGAGTTTCTGACGGATTGCTTCTCGCAAATTGCGCATAACTTGCAGGTAATATTCCTTATTGACCGTTCTTCCCTGTGGCAAGAACTCATGATGCACCACGCCCCTGCAATCGAAGAAAACTGTCAGCAAAACTTTCACATTCGACCGAACTTGGCGCGCTTTTTTCGGTCTTGGTTCGTGCGGCAGCTTCCATTGAGATGATTGAGCTTTGGTTTCCACGTCATAACCATAAACCCACGATTCGTCACCAGTTATGACTCTCTTGAGCAAATTTGGGTCGTCGCGGACAGAGTTTAACATCTCATTAGCAATGTTCATGCGATGCTGTTTTTGGTCACAATTGAGCAATTTTGGTACGAATTTCGCGACGACCCGTCTCATGCCCAAATCATTGATAAAAATCGAATGGCACGAGCCAATCGATATGTTTAGGTCCTCAGCAACTTCTCTAATGGTGATTCGACGATTGGCCAATACCATTTTCTCCACTTCATTAATTTTTTCATCTGTTGTTGAAGTGCTCGGGCGTCCGGCACGCTCTTTGTCGTTCACATCTTCTCGGCCTTCTGAGAACATTTTGTACCACCGATAAACGTTGCTTCGGTCCAAAGTAGCTTCTCCGTGTGCGCACTTAATTTCGTTTTTCCCACAAAATTTGATACAGGTCGAAGACGATCCAAAACACATGCAAGCAAAGCAGCTGTCAACAATTAAATGAACATTCAAAATGGCCGAGCTTGTCGGCATAAATGAGAGACATGAGTACCAATATAACGCCACAAAAAATTCGAAATTCGAATATACGTAACCCGCGAAAATTCAAAAATCGCGATACTTTTTGAACACACCTCGTATACGGAAAAATGACAATAAATGCATAATTAATCCAATCTAATCTAATTGATCGTTAAGCAATACATTAAAATGTCTCATTTTGTTAATCTCTTCTACCTTTTGTGACTGCATGTAAAATATCAAAATTGTCGTAAAAAATGTGTATTTCTGTGGTTAAGTGTGTAGCAGAATTAGAATCTAGACTATTGTTTTTAAACGCTCTTTTATGTTCGTTAATGCGTTTCTTGAAGAATCTACCTGTTTGTCCAATATAAATTTTAGGACAATATCCGCATTTCCGCTTGTAGAGACCTGATTTTTCAGATTTTGGAGACTTCATTTATTGTTTTTTAAAAAATGTTCTATTGTGTTTGTTAGTTCTGAAAGCTATTTTTAAACCACATTTTGACAAATGTTTTGAAACTTTTTCACTGGGTTCTCCTATTTATGTAATTGTTTTAAATTGTTCGTGTTCTGTATTAAGTTTCGGATAAATAAAGTTTACAAATCCAGACAACAGTAACATAAAACTGAAGAAAAATTTGTACTTTCGTGGTAATATACCTATAGGGTCTTCTTTTGCATTTCGACTATACAAAATCGCAACAATCCACATATCGACAATTTAAACATTAATACCACTATAGCAAAACAGAACACAGAAATTATCTGACATTTCGGCAACTAGATGCAGTAAAACTGATATTTAGAAAACACCTCTGAAAGCATAAAATATTTTG